GCTACTTTGGAGGCTGAGGCAGGAGAATCGCTTGAACCCAGGAGGTAGAGGTTGCAGTGAGCCGAGGTCACGCCATTACACTCCAGCCTGGGTGACACAGTGAGACTCTGTCTCATAAATAAATAAACAGTTGTTGAGTCAGCAAGTGGGGGAAAGATGATGGGGTGAGACTAGAGCTTGGTACCCAGGGAGGAAACTGGAGTAAGATAAGGGGTGAAGGGTGAGGACAGTGCTGGGGCAGGGAGGAGGAGGCCAAGTAAATGGGTCATAAGTTTGATGGACTGCAGGGAGGGAGGGGATTCAGGGTGAGGCTCAGGGCTCCTGGCCCAGGGATTGGATGGGGCAGACTTTGAAACAGGGACGTGTGAGGAAAAGCTGTTTTGGGAGAGATCCTGAGGACAGCATGGAGCCTCGAGTGTGAGGAGCCAGAGAGACCTCCAAGGGGCGGCTCAGGTCTCTGGCCCAGGGGACCATGATCACCACTGAAATAGGTTCGCAGGAAGAGCTGAAGCCAGCTTCAGACACCTCTTGAGGACTGAGAGGCAGAAGAGAGTGCCATGAACTGATGCAATCCAGGTGGGCTTCCTGGAGGAGAGATTGGCAGCTGTGACTCCTGGATGTCTGTTTTATTCACAGCTGTCATTTGCCCCAGTTATTCCCATTCTATCTGTGTGGAGATTTTTTTTGCTATTAAAAAAAAAACCAATTAGATACCACATCTGCCATGGGTCTATGAGCTTTTCAGGGGGCTCTGAACATGTTTGAGACCTTTAAAACATATTAAGAGAATGAGGTCGGGTGCAGTGGCCTGTACCTGTAATCCCCGCGCTTTGGCAGGCTGAGGTGGGAGGACTGCTGGAGCCTAGGAGTTTGAAACCAGTCTGAAGAACATAGAGAGACCCCATCTCTAAAAAAAAATTTGTTTTAAGTTAGGTGGGTGTGGCAGCATGTGCTGCTGGTCCCAGTTACTTGGGAGGCTGATGAGGGAAGACCGCTTGAGCCCAGGAGTTCAGAGGCTACAGTGAGCTAGGATCATGCCACTGCACTTCAGCCTGGGCAACAGAGCAAGACCCTGTCTGAAAAAAAAACAAAAACAAAAACCAAGAATGGAAAGACAAGTCACAGACTAGGAGAAAATATTTGCAAAACACTTATAAAGGAGTATCTAAAATATCTAAAATACATAAATAACTCTTAAAACAACAATAATTGGCTGGGCACAGTGGCCCACACCTATAATCCCAGCACTTTGGGAGATCCAGGTGGGAGGATTGTTTGAGCTCAGGAGTTCAAGACCAGCCTGGGCAACATAGTGAGACCCCATCTTTACACAAGAAAAAGAAATTAGCCAGCCATGGTGGTGTCTGCCTGTAGTCCCAGCTTTTCGGGAGGCTGAGGTGGGAGGATGGCTTGAGTGCAGAAATTTGAGGCTGCAGTGAGCTGTGATTATGCCACTGCATTCCAGCCTGGGTGACAGAGCAAGACCTTGTCTCAAAAAACAAAGCAGTCCAGGTGTGGTGGCTCATGCCTATAATCCCAGCACTTTGGGAGGCCGAGGCAGGTGAATCACTTGAGGTCAAGAGTTTGAGACCAGACTGGCCAACATGGTGAAACGCTGTCTTTACTAAAAATACAAAAATTAGCTGGGCATGGTGGCGGGCACCGTAATCCCAGCTACTTGGGAGGCTGAGGCAGGAGAATCATTGAACCCAGGAGGTGGAGGTTGCAGTGAGCTGAGATCATGCCACTGTACTCCAGCCTGGGTGACAGAGTGAGACTCTGTCTCCAAAAAAAAAAAAAAAAAAAAAAAAATCCCTCCCAAAGTACGGGGATTACAGGCATGAGCCACCATGCCCGGCCGTCATTAATTTTGATGGCAAAAGCTGCAATCATTTTTGCATCAACTACACACACACCCGCATACACACACGTATATATATCTCATGTCACCTGTAGATAGAGATAGTTCTATGTCTTCCCTTCCAATCTATGTGCTTTTTTTCTTTTTTGAGATAGGGTCTCACACTGTTCCTCAGGCTGGAGTGCAGTGTGGTGTGATCATAGCTCACTGCAGCCTCAGAGTCCTGGGCTCAAGTGATCTCCCTGCCTCAGCCCCCTGAGTAGCTAGGATTATAAGCTCGTGCCACCATGCTTGGGTAATTTTTAAGTATTTTTTGTAGAGATGGGGTCTTGCTGTGTTGCCCAGGATGGTCTTGACCTCCTGGACTCAAGTGATCCTCCTGCCTCAGCCTCCCAAAGTGTTAGGATAACAGACGTGACCCCTGCGCTGGGTTCTGTATGCCTTTTCTTCTTGCAGCGACTAGCACTTCCAGCACTATGTCAAATAGGAGTGTCAAGAGCAGACATCCTTTTCTTGTTCTTGAACTTAGAGGTAAAGTATTCTATTCTGTCCTTCACCATTAAGTATATCATATATTTAGTGTATTTAAATTTATTATAGTTATTCTTTTTTTTTTTTTTTTTTTTGAGACGGAATTTTGCTCTTATTGCCCAGGCTGGAGTGCAATGGCGTGATCTCGGTTCACTGCAACCTCTGCCTCCCAGGTTCAGGTGATTCTTCTGCCTCAGCCTCCCAAGTAGCTGGAGTTACAGGCACACACCACCACACCCGGCTAATTTTTGTATTTTTAGTAGAGACGGGGTTTCGCCATGTTGGCCAGGCTGGTCTTGAACTCTTGACCTCAGATGATCCACCTGCCTTTGCCTCCCAAAGTGCTAGGATTAAAGGTATGAGCCACTGTGCCTGGCCAGGTAAGATCTTAAAGACAGAGCTTGGCAAGCAGATTCTAGAGCTCATCTAGAGAATAAAATACATGTAAGTTCCTAAGAAATCTTTGAGAAATGAGAGAAGACCTAACCAATCAGAAAACAAATAAAGCTATAAAACAGTAGTAATGCAAAATTGATTTTGGATCAGAAATAAAGTCTAGGAGCAGTCACACATTAATGTGAAAATTTTGTATACAGTAAAGGTGGTATTTAAAGTCAGGGGAAGGGATGGACAAATTAATGTTTTTTCTTGATTGGATATTCAATTGGAAAAATAAAATTTGATCCACTAACACGACAGACAACTAGGCATCATCCTGTCTTCAGGCATCCCCATAACACGGAGCATTGCCCCACAAACACACGGGATCTGCCCAGACACCTAGGCCCACAGAGGAGAAACACTCAGCATCACAACAGTTAGAATTAAGGTGGACTAAAACCTTTGTTATTTCCTTCTATTATTATTTTCTATAAACCACCCAGCAAGATTGATGTCTCTGTTGGGTGTGAACTTGAAGCTATAATCCCAGATGAGATGTGCAAGGAATAGAACTCTATTCTCCTGCATCTGCACTGGTTCAGATGGTTTGGGCTGTGGAAACAGGCCAAGCATGTCATGCCAACATGTAGTCTATTTTCTGCTTGACCACATGAGGCAGTTGGGGGAAAGGAGACTGTTCCTAGAATGATTCAGGGATCCAGGCTAATGGGCTAATGGGGGCTCTGCCATGTGTCCAACACGTGGCCTTCTTTTTTTTGAGATGGAGTTTCACTCTTGTTGCCCAGGCTGGAGTGCAGTGGTGTGATCTCAGCTCACCACAACCTCTGCCTCCTGGTTCAAGTGATTCTCCTGCCTCAGCCTCCCAAGTAGCTGGGATTACAGGCATGCACCATCACGCCCAGCTAATTTTTGTATTTTTATTTATTTATTTACTTCTTTTTGATATGGAGTTTCACTCTTGTTGCCCAGGTTGGAGTGCAATGGTGCTGTCTTGGCTCACCACAACCTCCACCTCCCAGGTTAAAGTGATTCTCCTGCCTGAGCCTCCTGAGTAGCTGGGATTAGAGGCATGTGCCACCATGCCCGCCTAATTTTGCATTTTTAGTAGAGATGGGGTTTCTCCATGTTGGTCAGGCTGGTCTCGAACTCCTGGCCTCAGGTGATCTGCTGGCCTCAGCCTCCCAAAGTGCTGGGATTACAGGTGTGAGCCACCACGCCCAGCAACACATGGTTTTCTAAATCATCACATGGATATCACTTGTCCTGTTGGCCAGGGGAGGAGGAGCTTACAGGAGTGTCCCAGAAGACATTGAAAAGCCAGATTTGCTTGTGGTATATGTCAGCTCTACTCATTTTCCACAGGACCAAAGCGCATTTCATGGCTGCAGAGCGGAATCTCTGAGATGTGGCCAAGCAATGTTCTCAGGACAAAGAAGCGATGGGCCCTGGGGGAGAGTGAGCAGTCTCTTCCCCAGCAGCTCCACTGAATTTCTACTGAGAATCCCTATTCTTTGTGGTGGTGGGAACTTAATTCTGCTAAATATTGTGCTAAATATTAACCTGATTCTGAACTTGGGGTTGTCCATGAAGCTTGGGCATTGGAAGCAGCCCCTGGGTGTCTGTAGCCCATGGTGTCAGTCTTGATCTCTGTTTTGAATCATGCAGGATGGCTCCCGGCTTATCCCTATTTTCCTCTGTAGTTCTCTCTCCACCTGGCACTTGGGATTCCTGTGGAACTCCCTTCTTCTCACCAGGCGGGGCTATGGGGTATCATCCTTGGCTGTCTGAGGTCATTTCTTTGTAAATGTCTCCACCATATAGCATATCTGAGCATATTTGAGAACTTGGAACTTTTCTAGGCCTTATCTGAGAGGAGGGAATACAGATAATAGCTGGGGTCTCTGACACCTCTCTTCCTCCGATGCAGGTTCCAGGGGTCTCCTTATGGATGTACTATTATCTAATCTCTACATCTCCTTTTCCATGAGTGGGGAACCAATGCCTTTCTGGAGTGAGGGAGAGGTGGTCTTCATCAGCTATTCTGCCAAAGCTATTTGCATTTCTGGGTTATTTATTTATTTTTATAAAGGCAGGGTTTCACCATGTTGGTCAGGCTGGTCTTGAACTCCCGACCTCAGGTGATCCACCGGCCTTGGCCTCCAAAGTGCTTGGATTACAGGCATGAGCCACCACGCCCCGCCTATTTGCATTTCTTGAGGGCTTTCCATTCTTCCCCTAAGAGCTTGGCATTTGGATATCAGAAGCTGGAAGAGGTTTCTGTTTTCTTTTTGCTGCCCTGAGACACTAGACATCTCCAATTCCAGCTGAAATAAGAAGATGCCTAGAGAATACAACTGAATTCAGATTTCTAAATATCATCCCCATAATATCACTGGCAATTAGGCCTGCTTTACAGGCAAAGGAACTATGCTCAATAAAAGTATCTGTTCAGGGCTATACAGTTTTTCAGTTTCAGTGGTAAGTTTTTAACCCACAGCTGCCTGAATTCTATGTCTGTGGGCTTCCCCATTACGACAACCTGATTTTCATAGACTAGGAAACAGCTGGAGGGAAACACAATACTGACCACTGACCCAGAAAACAATCATGGGCATGTACACACACACACACACACACACACACACACACACACACACACACACGAAATCAGAACATTCCATTCCAGTTTTTTTTGGTTTCAAGATTCTCTGGAAGAACAGCCCAGTGTCAAGGAGCTAAAGGGATCTAGGGCATTTAGTATGGACCCTCTGGGGTGGATGAAGACAGCTCTGGAGCCCAGTGAGTAGAAGCAGTACAGGCAGGTGGTCTGGGTGTTCCCGGGCTGGTGGGTTTCTTGAATGTTGAGTTCCTTGGTTGGAGGGTTTCTTGGCTAGATGATGTCTCAGTGGTTGAGTTTCTTGCTTGGTGGCTGACTTGGCTGGTTAGTGTTTTGGTGGGTGGCTTGGTTGGGGAGCGGACCCCTGGGTTACTATGCCTGGCCTTCAATAATACAGGGTCAAGCCATAAATGAGGCCTAAGCCGATCATTACTGCGAATGCACCCAGCCAACCAGTTCGGCCTGAGTTGGTGTAAGCTTCTTCCCATTCGCTGTTCTGGTTGGCCTTGTTAGTCTGTAGGGGTGGAAGCATAGATGTAGGTTTCTGAGTCCAGAAACCCTGGGCAGAGGAGTTGGAGACATGTAGTCACTGAGGGAAAGCCCCTACGCAGGTCCCAGGACAGGACCAGATGCCCGGGCCAAATGGAGGACAGGGCAGGCCGGGTGCGGTGGCTTATTCCTATAATCTCAGCACTTTGGGAGGCCGCGGCGGGTGGATCATCTGAAGTCAGGAGTTCGAAACCTGCCTGGCCAACATGGGGAAACCCATCTCTACTAAAAATACAAAAATAAGCCGGGGATTTTGGCCCACACCTGTTAATCCCAGCTACTTGGGAAGCTGAGGCAGGAGAATCGTTGGAACCCGGGAGGCAGAGATTGCTGTGAGCTGAGATTGCACCACCGCACTCCAGCCTGGGCGACAGAGCGAGACTGGGTTTCAAAAAATTAACTTGGGGATTATTTTACCTGGTGAGAGAAGTACAGAGCTGCAAGTCCAAGCGGAGGGAATAAAAATATAGCGAAGATGGTCAAACATATGTGGTTTGGGGCATAAAATGCTAGTTCCTCTGGTGTCTGTGTGGGCTCTTGTGGCTCTTGGGGCGCCTCAGCTGGGGCACCTGGAGCACCCGGGTCAGCTGGAGCACCCGGGGCAGCTGGAGCACCCGCGGCAGCTGGATCACCTGGGGCAGCTGGAACACCTGGAGCAGCTGGAGCACCTGCGGCAGCGGGGGCACCAGGGGCAGCGGGGTCGCCTGGAGCAGCTGGCGTGCCTGAGGCAGCTGGCGCGTCAGGAGCTGGCTGGGCGGCAGGAGGAGTTTTCGGGGCCATGGGCTTTCCCCTAAGACAAAGTCGGACTCCAAGTGCCTTGAAAACGGAGCGCCAGACCCACTAGGCTTCCCTTTGTGCTAACCAGAATCCCAGGACCCAAACCGACAAACGATGGAGCTTCACAATGGAGAAATCAGAACCCCACGTCCTGATTGGCTGCCTCGTTAGGGGGCGTGGCCCCGCCTTTCTCGGCCACCCGAGGACTCAAGCCTGGAGCCAATCAGGATGTGGGCTCCGCCCACCCTGGTATGGATTGGTTGGAAGCCCAAGTGGCGGCTCTCGGCTCCTCCTCCTCCCACTGATCTCTCCCTGCAGGCCTCGCGGGTGGGTGGGGCGAGGAGGGTCTCTCAGGAGCTGCGGAAGAGAGGGACTAGACAAGCCCAGTAAGAGAGAGATTTATCGAGGGGATCAAAATGAGTAATGTCAGGGGATTGTAAAGTCCTGAATTAAAGATGTATTCCGGTCGGGCGCGCTGGCCCATGCCTGTAATCCCAATGCTTTGGGAGGCCAAGGCGGGCGGATTACCTGTGGTCAGGAGTTTGAGACCAGCCTGGCCAACATGGTGAAACGCCGTCTTTACTAAAAACACAAAAATTAGCTGGGCGTGGTGGCGGGCACCTGTAATCCCAGCTACTAGGGAGACTGAGGCAGCAGACTCGCTTGAACCCGAGAGGCAGATGTTGCAGTGAGCTGAGATTGCACCACTGCACTGCAACCTGGGCGACAGACTCAGTCTTAAAAAAAAAAAAAAAAAAGAGAATTCTTGGGTCTATGCTGACAGAAGAAAGGAAAGAATAGAGAAAGAAGTTCAGTGAAAGGGGAAAAGTTTTTCTTAAAGTAGAACATCACCTAATGGAACGATGGAACAGGAAATCCCCAGTATGGTAGGCAGAACTCTGTAGTGACCCCAAGATTCCTGCTCCCTGGTGTACACACTCCTCCAGTTACTCAGTCAAGTACTAGTCTGTAGGCTTCCAGGAAGTCGTCTTGCAGATGCAATTAGGGTCTGAAATCAGTTAACTTTAAGTTAGGGAAAATATCCTCTATGGGCCTCACCTAATGAGGTTAGGAGTTCGAGACCGGCCTGGCCAACATGGCAAAACCTGTCTACTAAAAATACAAAAATGAGCCGGGCATTGTGGCCCACGCCTCTTAATCCCAGCTACTTAGGAAGCTGAGGCAGGAGACTTGTTGGAACCTGGGAGACAGAGACTGCTGTGAGCCAAGATTGTACCACTGCACCCCAGCCTGGGCAACACTGTTCTTGAAATGAGGTGAGTTCTTGAAAGGGACTGAGTCTTTTTGGCAAAAGAGGTTTCAGGTGTTGAGAGGATTGGAGGCAAGGAAAGGTCTCCACTGCTGATGTGAAGATGTTGCCCGGACTATGTAGGTAGGAATGCAGGCAGCCTCTGGCTGAGAATGGCTCCCAGCTGACGACCAGCAAGGAAACGGGGTCCTTAGTACTGCAACAGCAAGGATGTGAATCCTGCCATAATCACATTCATTTGGAAGAAGATCCTGAGCTCCACATGAGAATCCAGCATAGGAGACACCTTAATTTTAGCTTTGGTAGATTCTGAGCAGAAGAGCAGCCATTCTGACCTACAGAACGACGAGTTAATAACAGTGTGGGAATTTGTTATGCACCATTAGAAAACATTTTCAAACACCATAGTAATCACTGATTCAGGTAGGAGGTTTTAATGAATACTAATATGGTGAGGTTTTAGCTGATGCTTCCTTTAGCTTATGGTTCTAGTAGAGCAGAGGGTTTGAGGAGCCACTTTTCAGGAAGTTGGGAGTGGGTGGGAGGTGACACTGTGCAGTCCACAAATGTAGACCTCAGTATGGCTTGTCCAAGACATAACCTGTGTACGTAAGGCCAGTCCTAAACCTAAAAGTAGTCAGAGGAACAGTGATAACACATGCAATCCAGAAGTCAGGATATTCATGGAGGAAATTGGTTCAGAGCCTTTCAAAGAGCCAAGTGGATATTCCAGAACAAAACATGGGGCGCCGAGGTGGGGGAAGACAGAAGAAGTGAAGGTTGGGCAACGTGAAGCATGTGCATTGGGTGCTGGCAGGTCCCTTGGCTGGTGGAACAAACAAAGACAGGCTTGGAAAGGAGCACATGGACAAGTGTGCCGAACCCTGAAACATGCACTCTGGCTCTGAAGGCGGGAATGAATTGGCCCCTTTGGTAAGCGCAGTATCAGAGGATCAGCAGGGGCAGTGGCCATACTGCAGGGATCCAGGCAGTGAACAAGAAGGGGGTAGTGTAGACAGAGTGTAGACATTGCTTTCCAAGAGCTTGGAGGCGAAAGAGAAAAGAGAAGCAGTGCAACAGCTGAGAAGAACATGGGTTCCAGTTTCTGGAATGTTGTAAGCCAACATTTGGTTTCAGAGAGTCATTATATGGAAAAGTCAGTTGTACACACATGTTTATTGCAGCACAATTTGCAATTGCAAAAATGTGGAACCAGCCCAAATGCCCATCAATCAACGAGTGGATAAAGAAACTTTGGTGTATATATATTATATATTATATATGTTATATATATAATATCTATATGATGGAATACTACTCAGCCATAAGAAGGAATGAATCAATGGCATTCACAGCAACCTGGATGAGATTAGAGACTATTATTCTAAGTGAAGTAACTCAGGGATGGAAAACCAAACATTGTATGCTCTCACTCCTAAGTAGGAGCTAAGTTATGAGGATGCAAAGGCATAAGAATGACGGTGGATTTTGGGGACTCAGGGGAAAGGGTGGGACGGAGATGAGGGATTAAAGACTACAAATTGGGGGAACCGTGGCTTAGGTGCAGACATGGCCAAGTCCAAGAACCACACAACACACAACCAGTCCCGAAAATGGCACAGAAATGGTATCAAGAAACCCCGATCACAAAGATACGGATCTCTTAAGGGGGTGGACCCCAAGTTCCTGAGGAAAATGCGCTTTGCCAAGAAGCACAACAAGAAGGGCCTAAAGAAGATGCAGGCCAACAATGCCAAGGCCATGAGTGCACATGCCGAGGCCATCAAGGCTCTCGTAAAGCCCAAGGAGGTTAAGCCCAAGATCCCAAAGGCGGGTGTCAGCTGCAAGCTCGATCGACTTGCCTACATTGCCCACCCCAAGCTTGGGAAGCGTGCTCGTGCACGCATTGCCAAGGGGCTCAGGCTCTGCCGGCCAAAAGTCAAGGCCAAGTCCAAGGATCAAAACAAGGCCCAGGCTGCAGCACCAGCTTCAGTTCCAGCTCAGGCTCCCAAAGGTGCCCAGGCCCCTACAAAGGCTTCAGAGTAGATATCTGTCTGCCAACGTGAGGACAGAAGGACTGGTGCGATCCCCGGGGGCTGCCATCTGCATGGGGCTGGGGTCCTCCTGTGCTATTTGTACAAATAAACCTGAGGGAGGGAAAAAAAAAAGACTACAAATTGGGTGCAGTGTATACCACTCAGGTGATGGTTGTACCAAAATCTCACAAATCACCACTAAAGAACTTACTCATGTAACCAACCACCACTTGTTCCCAAAAACCTATGAAAAGAAAAAATTAAACAACAACAACAAAAACAAACCTCAAGGAAGGAGTAGGATTTGCTGAACGGATGGAGGAAGTTTCAAGGGCTTTGAATCTTAGAGTTTAGGGCCAATTAGAAGATGAGCAGGAGAGGCCTTGCTTTACCGTGGTAACTGCCCAGGCCACAGAAAGTTTCCTGTTGCCAGGTGAAAATGTGGAGATTTAAGGGTTCTCTTATTTGGGTTCAGAACATCCCAGCTTAGAACTTTGTCATCTTGGTTCCAGGGAAGCTAGTGGACATCAAGCTCTGTGCAGGACCCAGCTAAGCCTCTGTGCCTTCATAATGCAGGACACACCTCCTAAAGACAAAGCCCAGAGGTTAGAGTGAGGCTCTTCGAGGGAACTGGTCGCTTCTGCTCTTTCCCATTCGTTCCTGTAGCCCAGTTGTTCTCAAACTTTAATGTGGAGCGCTTGTTAAGACACAGGTGGCTGGGCATCACCACTATAATTTCATATTCAGTAGGTCTGGGGTGGAGCTCAAGAATTTGTATTTTTAATAGATTCCCAGGTGCAACAAACAAACGTGAAAAAATGCTCATCATCACCGATCATTAGAGAAATGCAAATGAAAACCACATTGAGATACCATCTCACACCAGTTTGGCGATCATTAAAAAATCTGGAGACAAAAGATGCTGGAGAGGATGTGGAGAAAAAGGAACACTTTTACACTGTTGGTGGGAGTGTAAATTAGTTCAACCATTATGGAAGACAGTGTGGCGATTCCTCAAGGATCTAGAAATAGAAATTCCATTTGAGAGCTGGGCGCAGTGGCTCACGCCTGTAATCCCAGCACTTTGGGAGGCTGAGGTGGGCGGATCACCTGAGGTCAGGAGTTCGAGACCAGCCTGACCAATATGGTGAAACCCCGTCTTAAAAAAAAAAAAAAAAGAAATTCCATTTGACCCAGCAATCCCATTACTGGGTATATACCCAAAGGATTATAAATAATTCTATTATAAAGACAGAGGCACACATATGTTCGTTGCAGCGCTGTTTACGATAGCAAAGACTTGGGCATCCACCCAAATGCCCATCAATGATAGACTGGACAAAGAAAATGTGGCACATATACACCATGGAATACTATGCAGCCATAAAAAATGATGAGTTCGTGTTCTTTGTAGAGACATGGATGAATCTAGAAACCATCATTCTCAGCAAATGGTCACAAGAACAGAAAACCACGTTTTCACACATAGGTGGATGATGAACAGTGAGATCACTTGAGCACAGGGAAAGGAACAACACTCACTGGGCGAGATGGGGAGGTGGAGGGGAGGGGAGGGGAGGGGAGGGACAGTGGGGGGGTGGGGCAGATGGGGAGGGATAACATTGGGAGAAATGCCTGACGTAGGTGACGGGGGGTGGAGGGGAATGTGGCACGTATGTACTTATGCAACAATCCTGCAGGATGCAGAATGTGCACATGTACCCCAGAGCCCAAAGTACAATAAAAAATATTGTATTATTATAATAATATGTAATAAAATATATCATAATATAATTATATCATATAATAGTAATAATTACTATTTCCATTATTTATTTGGGTGTTTTTCTTCTTTATCTCCCTGGAATTCCAGAA